AGAGTGTGCAGGCAGATATATAATAGAAGGGGGTTTGACGCAATTTTTAAAATACAGGGGGATAACGCGCAGATTTCGTATAATACAGGGGGGTTTGGCGCAATTTACCCCTTTTTATTTTGTTAAATATCAACTTGGACTAATCGCATTTGAGAAAAAGCGACACTATCCTGCCGGAGACCATAAAATTCAACGAAAATTTAGTTGGGCACCATACAAACCAAATTATTAAAGGGCACTTTGGTCATATCACTTGATTTATAAGAGTATCCTTGTCCTTTCCCCTAATACTCGAGTTATAAGACATGATTAGGTAAAATTAGGGCAAATTTTCTGCCATTTTTTCCCCAAAATTTGAGGTTGGCATTCTGAAATCCAAAAATGGGTCGAAAGATTCGCTATCAACATAGTGACATTTGTGGTCTTTTGTTGGTTGTAATTAATTATTGCCTCAAATTACGGTGAGTTCGTTGTAATTAATTATTGATGCTTGGTGTTTAAATACTGCATTTGTGGTCATTTGTTGTATGTGCTTGTTCCTTTGTAAATGAGCTTGGGGTTATGAGATTCTCATGTTTTATGTTTTCTCACATGTGTTAACTCCACATTATTTACAATTAGGTTATATAATAATAGTTTATTTGCTAACCTAGGTGGTACACATTACATGGGCCCGAATTTAGGTTTGAGGGATCTTCTAGTTCTTTGATTCTGTCCTTCTGTTGTCATCTCTTCTCAGCCTTATATTCGTCCATGATTTTCTTCTGAGATTGGGTTGATCTGGGGTTAGCTATTTCTGTTTTGCTGGCACTCTTAGCTTCTCTTAGATCTTTTTGTTAGCTATTTCTGTTTTGCTGGCACTCTTAGCTTCTATTTATTCCTTTGAGTACCCATATTCCATCCACTCTTGTTCCTGTGGGCTAGTTCCTGCTTTCATTCTGGGGGCTATCGAAAGGGGTCATCGGTCATGGCGGAAGATCTATCGGACAAGCTGCGAAAATTCAGACTATCAGAGAAGGAGGAAAAGGGTTTAGACATCGTAGATGCTGATATAGAAGAAGGACTGAAAGAATGTCAATAGAGCTTGCTGGGGAAGATCTATGGTGAAAAGAAGGCGAACTACAGTGGGCTAAAGGCAACTTTAAACAACATCTGGGTAACGAAAGTGCCGTTCTTCATAAAAAATATTGGCCCGAACGTGTTCCAATTCCTTTTTCAGTCGAAGAAAGATAAAGTGAGAGTGTTGGGTGGAAAAACCTGGACATTTGATGGACAATATATCTTATTGAAAGACTGGAAACCAGAAGTACATGAATTTTCTAAAGACGATAAGAAAGTGAAGATTTGGGTGCAAGTTCATGATCTTCCCTTGCATTGGATCACCACAGAAATCGGAGTAAAGGTGGGAGGTTTAATAGGGGAAGTTAAAAATGTTTTGGTCCCAACTGCAGAGAGCTCAAATGGGAAAATCTTGAAGATTCAAGTGGAACTAAATCTGAGTGAGCCAATCCCAAGGGGTACATACATCAGACTGGGAGCTGAGAAGAGGTGGGTTAACTTCAGGTATGAGAATCTCCAAGCATTCTGTTTTTATTGTGGTCTGATAGGTCATACTGATAAAAACTGTATAGTAAAAAAAGGAGACTTAGCAAGAAATGTGCTGACTAAAGGGCAGTATGGAGAGTGGCTGAGAGTAGGTCCTAGTTTCTTTAATGAGTCTAAGTCAGTAAGGGCCTCTACCTCGCGGGGGCTGAGTGTAGAGGAATTCAAGAATTCTCCTAGCCCTGAGCAGGGAGGTGATGTAAGAAGAGGGGTAGGAGAAGAAACCTCAAATGGAGGGGACTCTTCTCCCCTTGATCAAAATAGTGATTTGAGGGGAAATGCTAGTGAGAAGCAGAGTTCTAGAGGGGTAGAGATCAAGAAAATCCCTGATCTTGCCCTAGTAGTAGGAGGGCCAGTGGATGAGGGGAACTCTAAAGTTGATTCTCAACTTGTTGATGTGGTGATCCAATCTACTAAAAATAGCAGATTGGAGACTCCTAAAAGGAGAAAGCCAGTCATTAGAAAGTTGGAGAAAAATCATCCAGGAGAGGCTGCTGTGATGGAACTAGACACTGTTAAAGGTGAAATAGTTCCTTCTAGTATGGCTCCTGTGATTAATAAAAGAAATATTGATGAGTGTTTGCAAAGTGCTCTTCATGATGACCAAACCAGAGGTAAGAGTAAAAAGTCTAAAACTAGAGAAAGTGATGAGAATCAGGTGGTGGAGGTGACCAGCCCTAAATGGTCCCAAGGGTTAAAATGAAAGTATGTGTGTGGAATTGTAGAGGTTTGGGAGGACCCTCTACAATTTCCCAATTGCGAGAAACCCTCAGGTTTCACCTTCCTGATCTCCTTTTCCTTTCTGAAACTAAGAAAAAAGAAAAATTTGTAGTGTCTGTTTGTAAAAAGCTTAACTTAGATAATAGATGGATCTATAGTAATCCAGTAGGGACTAGGGGTGGTCTTTTGCTTGTTTGGTCTCCCAGAGTATATATTATTGACTCATTCTGTCTGGATTTCTGTATAGAACTCAAGTTTTGTTTGAATGGCAGTGATTTTGTTCAATGGGGTATTTTTGTCTATTGTAGTACTGATCCTTGGATCAGATATTCCCAATGGGAAATGCTTTTGTGTTTAAGTAAAGGGTGGGGTCATTTCTGGTTTTTAGGGGGGGATTTTAATGACATATTGTATAGTCATGACAAAACAGGGGGTATAACTAGGTGTGAGAGTAGTTTAACTCCCTTTAGGGAGTTTGTGAGGAGTATGGGAATGTGTGAAACTAGGACTCATGGTCCTCACTATACTTGGTCCAACCTTAGACAAGGAACTGACCTTATTGAAGCTAAGCTAGATAGGGTCTTTTTCTCTGTCCATTGGTTGTCTAAGTTTCCAAATGCCCTTGTCAAGCACATTTCTATGGTTTCCTCAGACCACAGAATGATTGTCTTGGAGACTGACTGTACTGTGAAGTATAAACCCAAAAGGTTTGTGTTTGATGCTAGGTGGGTTAAGATGGAGGGGTTTATGGAAATAGTTGAAAGAGCTTGGAATTTGGAAGTTAGAGGGCCTGCCCTGTACAGTATTCAGGGTAGAATTAAAAATGTGAGAATGGCTTTGCTCAAGTGGAAAAAGAATTTCATCACAAATTCTGCAAAAATGATTGAAATTTGCAAACAAGCCATGTTTGATATAGAAATGCTGAGGGTAGGTAGCCAGTGGGAAGAATGGGTTAAATGGAGAGATCTGCTTCACAAGGCCTATTTGGATGAGGAGAACCACTGGAAACAAAAGTCCAGAACATAGCGGCTGCAAGAAGGTGATAAGAATACGAAATTCTTTCATGCTTCAGTGCAGCAAAGAAGGAGTGTGGGGAGCCTTGAGAATATCCTTAATAGATTTGGGGAGAAATGTAGAGATGAACAAGAACTTGTAGGGGAATTGGAAAGGCATTATCAAAACCTGTTCAAGACTAATAATACTGTTTGTGCAGAAAGTGACCTAGAAGGCATTCCAGTCACCATCACAGCTGATATGAACAGAAGGTTAATCAAGTGCAGGAAGATGAGATTTATGCAGCTCTCATGGATATGGATCCCTCAAAAGCCCCTGGGATTGATGGCATGACTGCCCTCTTCTTCCAGAAATGCTGGCCCATTGTTAAGACCCATTTGTGTGCAGCCATTCTTAACTTTTTTGCTACTAGCCAAATGCCAAAAGGTATTAACCATACTGTCTTATCCCTTATTCCTAAAGTTAAAAATCCTGTTTATATTTCTGATTTTAGACCTATAGCCTTGTGTACAGTTATATATAAGATTATTTCTAAAATTATAGCCAATAGATTAAAATCAATTTTGAACCCTTATATTAATGACTCTCAAGCAGCTTTTGTGCCTGAGAGGCAAATTTTAGACAATGTGGTTCTAGCTAATGAGTGCCTGCATTTCATTAATAGCAAAAGAAAAGGTTCTAAGTATTTAATGGCTGTGAAATTAGATATGGAAAAAGCCTATGATAGGGTAGAATGGCCCTTTTTGTTTAGTATCTGTAGGAAAATGGGATTTGATGAGTCTTTTATTACATGGATCTTTTCTTGTGTGAGTTCTTCTTCCTTTTCCTTTAGTATTTGTGGTCAGGTTTTGGGTTTTGTTAAGCCTCAGAAAGGTATTAGGCAAGGGGATCCCATTTCTCCCTACCTATTTATTATCCTCTCAGAAGCTTTTTCTAATTTGATTATGCAGGCTAGGGCTCATTATAATTTCTATGGTATCAAAATTAGTAGATTTTCCCCAACTATTTCTCATCTCCTTTTTGCTGATGATATCATTCTATTTTGTTCAGCTAATGAATATCATGCTTCTTTGATTAATCTTATCCTTGATGTTTTTGGTTTTGCCTCGGGGCAAAAGGTTAATTTATCTGTCTTCTATCCTTTTCTCAAGAAATACTCCTCCTAGACTCATAGGCAAGGTTTGCTCTATTTTGAATGGTATAAAATGTGTAGATTCTGCCAAATACCTGGGACTCCCTCTGGGAATAGGTAGGTCCAAGAGGAGCACTTTTAAATTTGTGTCTGAGTGTGTTTAAAAAAAATTGCTTAGTTGGAATAATAACTTTTTGAGTGATGCTGGAAAAGAAATTCTCATCAAGGCTGTCCTTCAAGCCTTACCTACTTATGTGATGTCCTGTTTTAAGTTACCTGTGGGAGTTTGTCAGGATATTAATAGGATCATAGCCAACTTCTGGTGGGGCAAGAGTGATGGGGGTAATGACAGAATTCATTGGGCTGTGTGGGATTTTGTAGCTAGACCTAAAGATAGGGGTGGGCTGGGGTTTAGGAGGATGAGTGTGTTCAATGATGCTTTGTTAATGAGACAGCTGTGGAGGATCATAACATGCCCAAACCTTCTTATTAGTAAAGTGCTTAAAGGAAAATATTTTCATAGATGTAGTTTACTTGATGTCAAACCTAGGAATAGGGACTCTTGGCTATGGAAGAGCTGGGTAGGGGTGATCAACTATTTGAAATTAGGGGTTAGGTTTCAGGTGGGTGATGGGAAGAATATTTTGATATGGGAACATCCCTGGTTACCTAACTCCTATAACTTCATTCCCCACAGCTGCTTTCCTGAGGATAAGGCTAGGTTAACATGGGTGAGTGATCTAGTGAATGAAGTGAGTGGGGAGTGGGATAGGGATCTAGTATGTCAGACTTTTCTTCCTGATGAAGCAGACATGATATTGAAAATTCCTTTGTCTACTATGGGCAAGAGAGATAGAATTATTTGGCACTATGGTAAAAAGGGGATTTTCAGTGTCAAGGCTGCTTATAATATGCTGGTTGAAGTATTAGCATCTAGAAAGTCAGAGGCTTCCTCCAGTGATGCAACACAGAACATGAAAGAGCTCTGGGATTTCACTTGGAATCTGGATATAAAGAACAAAATTAAACTGTTCATCTGGAAGTGCTGGTACAAATTTCTGAGCACAAATGACCAGTTGATCAAGAGGAATTTCTCAGTGGATTGCATTTGTCAGATATGTGGAGAAGCCCCTGAAGACTTGGACCACATTTTATTCAATTGTTCAAGAGCCAGAACAGTGTGGAAGATTAGTGGCATTGCATGGCAGGGGTTGGAGAAGAAGATGTAGCATTCAAAGAATGGTGGGGCAGCTTCAAGGATGTTTGTCTTTCAGGCAACCTTAGAGACAGAGTGAGCTTATCTACTTATGTAATGTGGTGGCTCTGGAAGACAAGAAACTCATGGGTATTCAAAAAAGAAAAGTGTTGTGAGGTTCAACTGGTTCAGAAAGCAAGAGCAGAATGGATAGAGTTTGCAGACTGTTCAGGCAAGAAGGAGAGGTGTCCTAGGGCAGTGGAGGAGATTCCCTTGACCCCTGAAGAGTGTTTTTCCTCGAGAGTAGGGAAGTATTGTCTCACTGTCAGTGCTCTATACTCTTCTAAGGATCAAGTGGAAATTTCTTGCACAATTGAGAAAGAAGGTGAGCTTCTACAGAGAATAGCAGACACAAAGTTCTTCACAGGGTGCAAGGAAGGAGCATGGCTAATGGTGGTGAGATGGTTAATGCAGAAGGCTCTTCAAGAAGGCTGGAATGAGTGCTGCTTCATACTGAATCAGAAGACTCTAGTTAAGAAGCTAGCTCATAGGAAGGAATTTGATGTCTGTTGTAATTCTCTAGCATTTGATGTCTATTCATTAGCCTCTTCTTTCCAGTCATGTGCTTTTTGTGTTAGATAAGCTAGTGTCTGTTAGTGGGGTTCTTTTGTATCCTTTGTTTTGGGTCATGAAGGGGAAGATGTGTAGAGCTTCCCCTAAAACTTGCTATCAGTTGGTAGCTCGATTTGTAAATTGCTTTTGAGGTTTATAATATTGTTGGAAAAAAAAAAAAAAAAAATTAGGTATATCTCATATTGATTTTTGTGTTCCTGATGAAATATTATTCGTTGAGCTTCAATGTATGGCTAACGATATTGGTTTATTTATGTTTAAATCATTTCACTGTAATAAAACTGAAATCCATGAATCCAATGACCTGTTTATCTTAGAAATTGATAATGATGTTTGCAACATGGTTCAATTGATTTTGATTTTGATTAAGTTTGGAAGTTTTTGTTTTGCTTAGTTAATTTTGAAAAATGTGGTATGATTAGTTATTAGTGTGATTTTGAATTTATATTAGAACAATATTTAAAATAAAATTAATAAAACTAATTTGATGTAAAAGTAATAGAGAGATGATGTGAAATGATGGTTAGTTAAAATTATGGTAATTGATAAATATTGAATTAAAACTGATGTAATATGCAAAAATAATTGAGTAATATTATTTAATTATATTGATTATATTGAAGATAGTTGGATTGAGTTAAGATTATATTAAATCTGAGTTAAAAAAGGTGATTTGTTAAAAATGAATAGAATTTTTCAGAAAAAAATTGTATCCAAGTTAATACTACGAACTCTAGTTATTCTATATATATTTTTTTAAAAAAAAATAATAATAATTGGTTAAAAAATGATAGAAATTTTTTAGAAAAACTTGCATCCAAGTTGATACTACGAACACTATGTTGTTCTATATAAATTGAGGTATGCACGCATGGCTCTATCTATTCACCCTCACCATTAAAAAACAGTATTCGCCTTTCCATCTTCACGAAAAAAAGAAAACAACAAACAAAAAAATGGTTTTCCAAAGTGTTGATTATTCTTTGGGGACCACAACTGCCAACCGTAGATTGCCCAGTTGACACAACCTTGCCGGGTTCTTGTACACGGTGACCCTAGCCATTTTGTTATTATCACCCAAGACCACATACGCAATGCTGTACGACTCCCCTTTCTCCACCGCAAACTGCCACTCCTTCATCGATATCAGGAACCAATTCTTCTTGTTCGATTTAGTCGCCTTTACCTCCACGTATTCCTTCTTCTCCTCTCCTTGGCCCTCCACCACAATATCGTAAGGCAGGCCCGTCTCGTTATTCTCGTTCACCCAATTCACGGCCCCTTCTCCTAATTTCCCCACAAAATACTCGAATGCCACATGCTCACCGAGCCTCCCTGTAAGAATAGCCTGCTGCCTCATGGCCGATACCTGCCCTTTCCCTCGCTCACCACTGCCAGAATTCAAGTGCACCTGAAGTGTGGCATTGGGAAGAGTGAGTTCAGCCTGCAGTTCGGGCTCCAGAGTCTCGACCTCGACCGGAATACTCAGAATCTCGCCAGGTGGCGACGAGGCGCTGGACTTCTCAAGAATATTTTCAGGGGTGACGCTCTCGCCTTCATTTTTCGGTACCGCTGTTCTTTTAGATTTGCTTCTGACAGAGTCGAAACCCGGTGCAGTTTTCCAGTTGGCCGGCGGCCAGGTTGAGTTGATTGCTCCGGGCCTCTTGGGTTCTGAGGGGTTTTGTTGATCGGCGTTCAGGGGAAGTACGTTTTCAAGGGGTGTAGCGTCGATTGGGGAGAGAGACCAGGTGGGTTCCTCATTCGGGATTTTGGGCACTCTCTGGCTGTTCAAGATGAAGAATTCGACTTGCTCCTCGGTGGAGCCTGACTCGGCCATGGTTGTAATCATGTGAAGAAAATTCGCAAACTGCAGGTTAGGAGCTTGGTCTAGCACAAGATGCGTGAGCTCCAGGAATATCGAGTGCGGGTCTGAATCACGCCTGCAGTACAAGGTGGTGTCCTAAAAAAAAAAAAGAACAACATTTACCGTTCTATGCTCTTTACTCTTATCAATATATGAGAATGACATCAATAAGGGGAGCAATGAGTAGGGATATAGAGAATTCAGTACCTGCAGAAGGCACTTGCACTGGTGCCTTTTCTTTGATTTAAGCCCACCCTTCTTTATGACATTCCGGAAGAACAAATTCTCGACAACAACAATCTTCAGACGCCTAATATTCTCAAAACTAGACTGCTTGAGTTCAGAATATTTGTCGGGATACGCATTATGTATGTAGCGCTGAGCATAAGGAAAAACCCAATTCACGAGAGAAAAAATGGAACTAGAGTCTGATGGACCGTGGCATATTGACTCACGAGTTACAATCTGCCAAAAGAAAAGGAGGATTAAATTGCTAAAGAATTAGATAGTTAGCGCTACGACTTTTCCGTTGTTGATGATCGAAACTCTTGAGAGAACCTTACTTAGAAAAAAGTAAATTAAACAATAAAACAGCATAAAAGATCTGGAAGTACACCGAGCGTAAGGTTGATGCCCATTTGGGAAAGTACAAAACAAACATTCAATGTTTTAGAGTTCAAATAAGTTAGTTGCTGAATTTTCCAAGCTACGGCATGTAGCGTTAAGAAACAATTCACCTTGTCCCCATCAAATGTGAGTGCATTATTGTGAAAACTAGAAATAGACGTGTAAGCAGAAAATAATCCTCATCCATGCCCAGCATCTTCTAGGTAGTGAATTGAAAAGGAAAACAATATGAGGAAGCTGAGGCCACATTAGATCACCTTCTTAAAGAGCAGAACAGACTTGAAATGTCAAAGGAAACTTAAATGTTTCAACGGTAAAGTAAAATTGCATATTATTTTATGTAAACTAATGAAATGGCCATTACGGTGCAGACATTCAAGTAGATAAAACCCCAAATATTAGTAATATACTTTCTTGCCTTAGTACAATATGAAACGAAAATTAAATAAAAAAAAACGATATGGAGGACGCAGCTACTGAAAATTACATAATAAAACAATTGGTTGGACCTTTTTTTCAAAACCAAAAATAACATAGATAAATAATAATAAAGACAGATGAACTTGCACTAAATAATAACATAAATATTAAAGCAATGAAAATAGAAGTGTAAGAATTAAAGTTGGCGGGAGTTGACACCCATGTTTGAGCTTGCACTCCAGTTGTGCCTTCAGTTGAGCAGGCCAACTAAGATTCTGAGTCAGCTCATTCCGTGTATCCAATATATGGATGAAATTTATATAAAGAAAACAGATGAACTAAAAAAGAAAAGGAAACATAAGAAATTTGTCTCAAGTAAGAACTGATGGGTAAAGGTTTAACATTTAAAGAAGAAATGAGCCGTTGTAAAATTAAAAATATGAAAGTAAGTTGGACCATTCAAAACCCCAGTGTTGCATAAAAGATTATCATCCGATAAATACTATAAATATAAAGAAATACACCACTATGAAAATGAATGTGATAATAGAGAAGAATAACACGGGAAATTCTTTATTTGAAAATGTTGAAGTTCCCAACATCTATTAGATACTGAGTTGTTATTGTGTATGTAATGGGCTGGGCACCCTCTCCCTTTGTGGTAGCTTCTAGGATGAGTTCTACTTAGGCCCATTTATCATTGCACCGAGATTTGTTCGTTTGGAGGCGATGTTAGGTTTGGACCTGGCCCATTTGGTTTGGCTTACTACGCATTAGAACAGGTGTTAGAAGTTATGTTTGTCCCACATCGATTAGCTACTGAAAAGTTATTGTGCATAAGTGTCGGTTGGGCACTCTATCCCTTTAAGCTAGCTATTAGGAGGGAGTTCTACTCAGGCCCATATATTAGAAAACAATAGGCACAAAAAGTTTTTGTCTAATAGTGGGAGTGGAAGTATGTCGGAAAAAAAAAATGAATTTCAAATTATACTACAAAACAGAAGAGGCAAATCTTAGCATAATTGCAGATAAATATTTAAAACAGCATTATTGCAACAACATTGCTGATTTATAAATTAAAATTCAACTAACCCAGCAAAAAGATTAAAAAAAAAAAAAGATGTCAAGAGCCACTTAAAAGGTAAAATTTAAGGTTCACTATCCAAATTAAAAGCAGTTAGAAGGTGGATCCTGATTCTATTAAATCTTTACATGTAAAGTAAAAAATTAAACCATTTATGTCGACAATAATTTTCTTCTCAGTAATCAGTATCACAAAGAACATAGCATGAATCAGATTAATCCTGCATATATTTGTGAAATCTTTATATCAAACTTTCAATTCCAGATTTTTATATTATTTTTGAAAATTATACATTACCAGCTAAATGCAAAACATCAAGTACGAACTCTTAGCATTAACTAGTAAACAAAATGAGTTGTGCTGTAAAACAAAACAGTTACATGAAAATAAGTATGATGCGCTACTACAATATGAATTCTAATTAGTAAAACAATAACCGAAATATATTCGGCATACAACAATCCAGAAACTTTGGGATGACGCGTATAATTATAGATGAACATATGCTATTAAAGACTGAGCATAACAATTGACGTCTATGAACAGAACCCATTCCAATGGCAATTTTCAATAAAGAGGAGCAGAAAATAATAGATAAATCTCTTGCAAATGCAAAGAACAACATCATGCAGTAATATTCAGGTAATTTTCATCATTTGCTGTATTCCACTTATTCACTGTGCTTTTCATTCAAGCAAGCAAGGGCCAAACATAATGCATCAAAGGAAAAGTTATGAAGTGGATACTTAAATACATGATGATAAGCGGAATGTTTCTATAAAAGATGATCATGTCCGTGTGTAACAAATAATCAAGTAGGACCATAACTATTATACGCACCAGCATATGTAAGCATATATATACGTCCATATAAAACATACATAATAATGCACACAAACAGACACTCATATAATGCACGCACTCATGCAAGATCAACTTTAACAAGAAGGTTTAGGTGCGTCCTAAACTACCCATCCTAGCTTGAAATGTTTGATATATATATATTTGCACACACACACAGATGCGTACGGATATAGATAGATAGGTAGATAAATATATTAGAGTAGGAAACAAAGAACCTCAGAGAGAGCAGGAATTCCCAGTCCTTGCATTATGGCAGAGACCTTGACCTGAAGACTCTGTTTTTCTTCTTCGGTAGATTCTCCAAAGTGAAGGAACTCAATACTATGGAGGTGTCTGAATTCCCTCCCTAAGTCATTATCATCACACCAACAGACTACACCATATGATGGGTGTAGGGATACCCATTTATCTTGTCTAGTAGGAAGAATAGCATACTTCTTTTCCTGGAGACTTTCTTTCAGGTACACGACATCATCTAAACTCAAAGATCCAGATTTCAAAGCATTGTCCCACAGTAAGAACACCTCACAAACCTGTAACATGAGTTAAACTTGCATCACGATAACAATTAAGTTTGAAAAATTAGTTGACTTGAATTAGAGGACTGGTTACCTTCTTTGCTGCCTGATGAGGTAAAGCAATAGTAGACAGCTGCAGCAAAATCTGGAGATAGCTGCAGAGAGAAGGACTTTCATCCACTCCACATTCATTCACAAAAAAGTCATGAAGGTTGGGGTAAAAGCTGTGTAACATTATTCTCTGGGGACTAACTATGCTTCGGACACATTGAGAATGGGTTGACTTTGTTTGATCAACTATCCCAATTGTGTCATGCCAATATACTTCCTGAGGAGACAAGAGTGCACCAGGTACAACAGCCTCCTCTGAACTACTCAAAGTATTCGGAACAAATATGAAAGGTCCTGAACGTAATTCCTCTAAAACTTGCATCTTTGAAGAAGACGACGCCTTCCAAAGAAATGAATAGAAGTTGGACATCTGCAACAAACTGATTTACACAGGATATTTAGGTATATGTGCTACTCGACACATCACGGAAACTAATGGATTAAATCTAGTAGCAAATGACTGAAATATATATATATATATATATATATATATATATATAGAGAGAGAGAGAGAGAGAGAAAGAGAGATGGTAACAGAAAAGAAATTGACAAAATCCAGAAAATTTGTGAATTGCAGAAAACAGCTGATGCATACAATAAAAGAAAGAATCTGTTATAGTAAAAGCTTTAACAATTATTGATATAATAAATGAAGTGTCATTTTCAGAAAGGCATACCTAGTCTTGAGGGGAGATTCCGATTGTCTCCAGAGTTTAAGAACTGATATAGCATCATCAACAGTAACTTCAGTTCTAAAACCAATGTCAGCTAACAACTTTTCACTTACAACCTGGTTCAAATGCAAACATTTTCATTAGCTTCACTATGTAGCGCACAAAATACATCTCTGGTGTATCACCAACCTCAAGTACAGAAGATAAACAAACTAAATAGTATCAAGGCTGCATCCTAAAAATAAATGGAGAAGAATGACAAATCTTGATCAAAATTACATTAAGATGCGAAAGTTTGAAAATATTTCTTGCTTAGAATATAAATTATGAGAAGACAGTCCAACAAAAACATCATTATAAAATGAATCAGCATCATAAAAATTACTTAAACATAACTGGCTTCCTTGGAATCATATTGAATAATAAATTTAGATTTACTTGCGCGAATACAAGCTATAACAAACCAATCAAGTGCCAGCTCACACAGATACCTCAAATTAGCACTGACAATTTGACTAAGGTAAATTTACTGTGGATGATCAATATGAACAAGTGAAGCATCAGGCAGTTAAAGAGGCACTGTGTAATGAAATGATGGGCCCACGCGCACACAGATATTAAATCTGATCCTCAAGTGTGCAGCTACATAACTAGCAGAACAAAGCGGACCTCAAGGTACTCAAGTAACTGTCTCAGGTAA